GTTACAGTTTATGCATGTTGTTGTTTGTTATGTGGTGGTACTTTGGGGGAACTCACTAAGCGTTTTTTGTTATGGTTTCACGTACTTCCAAGGATCGTGGGAAGGCGAAGGCGTGACCATATACATCCCAATTTTTATGTTGTTGATCTTGGGAAACTCTTAATTTAAATAATATTTTGGAAACCATGGTTTTGTAAACACATTTACTAGTAAATGAGTTGTTTTGAAAAGTTTAAATTGGTTTTGATTTTTTAGACGTTACAAGTTGGTATTAGAGCCTTGGTTTGATCGAATTGAATGAACACTCATATGAATCCAGTCTCAAACTAAGGAAATGCAAAGGTTTTATAAATGTTTTTCAAAATTGTTTTCAACAATAATCAAGAAAGGATGTGATGTGTATAATCAACCAGAGCCAGTAAGTAGACCCTAAATTACTACATTGTTATATGTTATTATGTTTATGGTAGAACAACACGCTAGTTGTAGGACAAGGATTTTCAGGAATTGCATGATATAATTGTCTGATGTATGATGCCCTATTTTCCTATAGAGTTTTCTTGCTCATTGTTATATGACTCTTTCGGGTGTGAATTAACTATTAATTTAATATGCTAATTCACATGCTGCATGGGTTAAATAATTTTAGAATGAAGGGTTTGGCCCTATTGCGGAACTCTTCTATGAGTCCAACCGTTGTAGGTTTGAATCTTTTAAGCTGTGATTATTTAAGTTATGTCGCATGTGATTGTATTCAAGCAGTAGTTAACTGGCACATAAGATTTTGATGTCCAAAAAAGTCAATATTAAAACATCACACCATAAATGAGTAACCTACAATAGTAAAAACCCAAAAAGTAGTCAAACTCTGAGTTCTGGTAATAGTTATGAAGCTTCAAAATGCATATATTTGTATAAATTTTGTGACAAATTAGAAAAGAGCTTATTTAGTTTGTTATAGACAATTTGATCAAAGTTTTATGGTGTATATCAATTTTAAACTTGATAATCAACCAATTTACATCATAAAGCAATTCTATGACTAACTCTTTAACAGAATCAATATGTCGATCAATCCGTACAACACAATATATATTTACCTTAGTGATAAAAGTTTCATGTTCTTCAGCATGTTGAGCGATCTTAACAACTTGTTTTGACAAGATGTCCTTCGTTCTCTTTTCTTTGAGCAACTTTCTAAACAAACAAACAAATTCCCAATTCAAAACTTAGAAATATTGTGTAAACAATCTACAAAAACAAACAAAATCGAACTCAAAATCATACCATGGATTGACCTTTTAACCTCTGCTTCACTCCTTGAAACTGATGCCCATTCAATTGATAATCATCCGCCTCTTTAGTGCTCGACATGTTTTATTTCTCTTGAGATGTTGAAAGAGGTTACTTGATTGAAGTAATTAAGAAAATTTGCTCACACTTGTCGCTGCCTTTGATGTTAAATGGAGAAGAAGATCTCGAAGTAAAAGAGATAGATCTAAGGATCAAATCAAACTACAATTGAGAGCTTAAATTCCAACAAAGCAGAGAGAGAGAGAGAAAGAGAGAGAGAGGGAGAGAGAGAGAGAGAGAGAGAGAGAGAGAGGAGTTTGTCAAGCTACCTGCAAACAATATCGAAGATCATGATAGAAAATGAAGAATACTTGCTTAATTTCAACATCTGTTATGAGCAATCAGGGACAGGGTGAGCAATCAGAACTCGGTACATACCAATTCAGAGATCTAGCAGGGGTAGTGTCAAGGCGGAGCTATAGGAGTACCTGTAAGAACCAAGCGGAGCTGCAAAGGCCCCGACGTGTTTGCCTTCTTCGCCTCTTAGCTGCCTTACTGCCAATGAATGGATGAATAACGAATTCGAAGTATAGAATTGTGAATTAGGGTTAGGTTATGTTCTTCATTCAATATGTTGTCGTTGCAGGCTTGCAAGGTGCAAGTTGTGACCGACTAACTTATAGGAATTTAGTGGGCTTCACAATCAGTTTCATAATTCTCACTTCACAAATAATGAATTGGGTTGGCCTGATAATTAATAGAGTTTGTGTCATGTGCATTTTACACATCTATGATTTTTATATAAAAAATAATATATATTAAATTAACAGTAAATGTAATTGCATATAAAAAATTATTTTGTATATTTATAAATCCTCCGGTCCAGTTCGGTTCTTATACAATTTGAAAATTTTGAATCTGTAAGCCAAACCGCTCATTACGGTTTGAAAAGTTTGAAGCGGTAAGCAAAACTGTAAAGAAAAATACAAACCGCCAACCCAAACCGATGACCGGTTTCATAGTTTCAAACCAGATCGTGAACACCCCTAGTATGTAGTGCTCATGTGGTGTTTTTGCAAGTGTTGGGGGAGTGTCATTATGAGTGATTATAGATGTAGCATGTCAGTTTGGAAGGATTAGTCACTCTCGAGAGAGTGAGGATAGGATGTATGTATATCCTAGTTGTTGTATTGGTTTTGGGTGGTTGTGATGATCCTTTAGACAAATACAGATAGGTATGAAAGGTAGTATTTGAACATGTAACATTCCAAAAATGAAACAAATGTCTTTGCCATCTTAACTAGAACAAATTTTATTATTATATGGACATGTAGATATATATATATATATATATATATATATATATATATATATATCAATAAAAAATTATCATCTTGACTACAATAAATTTTATTATTATATGGACACGGTAGATATATGCATCAATAAAAATAAATTTATGAATATTGGGGTCCCAAATGGTTGTTGGGCCCGAATATGTTGTTCAACTTGTCCTATCTTCTGGGTTCGGCCTACCGGTAGGAAACATCGTCCCGTGTCCTAGCTTGTTATCGTCGGCAAGGTGCCAACGAAATGTTTTTGCCGTTGAAATTTGAGACTTTTTTTTTTTTTGCATTTATCTACACATCAACTTTTCATCATTTGTACTACTAGTCTTTAAATGCGTTCTCCTTTAAACAATTTTTACATTCAAAATGTCTTCCTACAACTAAAGAAATAACCAAAATGTTGCCGACTCTTCCACCTTAAATGTTTCCAATTCAAATTTTAGTTACAATCAGTCATGTTATTTTTTATTTTTAGTTTTTATTTACGTAATTTTCTTTCTTTTGGTTAATAGAAGCTTAAGTTTTATTTTAATTATTATTCATGTTTTTATTAATAAGTAAATAAAATGTTACATTTAAAGAAAAAGTTGGATGATAAGGATGACAAACCACATTCTACTCATCGGCAAAAAAAAATACTAATAATGACAAAAATTTATGTGACAACTGACAACCTATTTTTATAATTTTTGGCTATCGTTGAAAAATCTTTGAAAAAATGGTCATTACAAGTCATTTTCTCTTAAAAAAATCAAAATTTTCTAACTATCTTACTTCAGAGATTAATTTTTTATTTATCTTAAGAAATATGATCATCTATCAAAATTTGTGCTAAAAAACAGATTTTTTATTTTTTGAAAATTTATTAATCCAATTTTCATACAAATAGCGTGTTAAGATTTTGGCCCATATTTGGTTGTGAATGGGATAGAAACCGTAGTGTCCTTCCGTATTGGAATCCATTTCTCATTCCATTTTATCACATTGCCAAACAATTCGTTTCTATTAATTTTGCCCCAAATCTCATGTATTTTTATCTATTTGTTACAACCAGGTTATTACAAAAATCTATGTATGCCAATTAAAATGAATGATTAAAATTGATAATTACCACATATGCTGATAATCAACCACCATTTAAACTGATAATGAAGACACCATATTAACATCTTTATTTGTATGTTCATTCAAAATTTCAAATAGATTTTTAGCATTATAATTTAACATCTACAAAAACAACAACCCTTGATTCATATTTGAATAAATTGCATAAATTGATAATCAAAATTTGCTTATTTTGTCGTTTAAAATCATCATTTTTTTTTCTGCCAAAATAGAAGGCTGGAATTTCAATTATTTAAGATAATAAATTCAAACCAGATTTTATTACAAATAATTTATTTTTATATAATTTAGTCATTCTTGGTTTTGATATTTTTTTAATGAGAAATCTTCAAAAAAGTTCTAAAATTTTATCTCAATTTACGAAAAAGTTCCAAACTAAAATTTGTTTATAAAAAAGTATGAATTATAGGTAAAAATGACGATTTGACCATTTTCCGGTTTACCAGTTTCATTAATTATTTGGTTTCATTAAAATCCCATTATTTTATCATAATTTACGAATAAGTTTCAAACTAAAATTTAATGATGATTTGATCATTTTCTCACTATGACATACATTTTACCGATTTCATTGCTAACCTGAATGTCTAGCCATTAAATAAGTTGATTAAATGGATATGTTGAATTATATAATGTTATATTGACCATAAAATTTGATATACTGATGCATTGCATAAATACATCCAAAAAAGGCTGCAATAATTATTGCTTGCTAACCAAATTACTTGTAACCCAAAATTTTAAAAAATAAAATCTACTCCTAATAAAAACCTCTCCTAAAATCCACTTGTCTAATTTTTAGACTAAGAATCTGCCACGTGGCATTATAAGAAGCAATTAACAAAAAACTTTCCCGCCCAAGTTGTTTTGCAGCTTTTACCGCTTAAAACTTTTTCACTTCAATTCAAACCCCTTAAAACTTTTTCAGCTCAATTCTTTAATTCAATCAATCACGGAAAATCAGTAATCTATATTAAAATCTTTAACTATATCTTGCCTAAAATCTCGGTCCCATGATTCTAAATTTGATTTCAAAATACCTAACTCCCTTTGGTTGTAAATCAATAGAACCCATCTTCTCGGCTTATCCATCTCAACTTTGAATGTTTAGGGGTGTCATTGTAAACCCTAGGGCTTAAGGAGACGTGTCTAACTTGCAAATGGAGGAGCCAAGATGGGATCTGGAAACTTTCGAAGTGACAACGAAGTTGTCAATAAAATACAATTGACACTATGATAACAATAACAGGTTTTTATTTAACTAATTCCATAAGATTGGTAGATTTTGTTGTAGTTTGGTTTTCAATTTACTGTGCAGGTATCTTCTATTTTCTTCATTCCACTGATATAGACAAAAAGGAAAAGACATCTCATTCGCTATTTCGGAATTCATCCCAGAGATCGGTATGTACCCTTCCATAGTCTTAATTATGTTTTCCATAATACTCAAGGAGTTCAAAAGGGAGCGAGAGGGGGTTGATTTTCCCTTGAATTCTAGGATTATGGCGCTAAAATATTTGCAACTTTGTCAATTGGATCAAATTCGGTCCACAATTCAGTCATTTGTTGATGATTTTGATGGGAAATATTTAGTATAGATCATCAAGTTGGTGAAAGAGAATAAGGGATCCCATTTATACTTATGAGTTTAGTAGAAAACTCACTTGCACTTTACACGCTCGATGAAATGCCTCAATGATGCATACTAATTATTTTTTCACCAAATATAGCATTATTGCCCAACATCAACTGTTTTCGTAATGGGTCTTTACAGTAAAAAACTGAATTTTTAGCAATCACATTTTATTTATTGTCCAATTAAGAAAAACAAAGAAATGGTTTATCTGGGCATAATGGTAAATTTGTCGGACATGATGTTGTGTCAAGTTATGAAACATTAAAGCTTGCAAAGGGACTCAATGTTGGTTTATTTGAGGTATAGTATTTAATACATGTCTTAAAAATTTGTTAATTTTTTAATATTTTGATTATTATATATTTATATATCTTTTTGTAAGTTCAACCAGATGCTAATCCATCTGTTTGCAATCTCACAGTCTATAACATGGAATTGAATTTAAGAAAACCAAATGAGAAAGAACAAATAAGAAAGAAAGTAAGTGATTCCCCTCTATTAAACACAAACATTATCAAAATATGTTGTTTTGTAGCTTTTATTTTAAATTATATATGTTTTTATTTTCTGAATTTTGTGTCTGACTTGGTTTTGCATAACATAGTTGTCTAATTTGCCTATTACCTAATATTCCAGTTATTTCATCACTTCTTCCGTACTCAGCTGGAATATGTTATATGTTTTTGGATTGCATGTTTTCTGTTGTTTTATACACATGACGTTTCTTATGTATTTTTGTATTGCATGTCAACTATTTGATGCAATATAAAAAAACATACCAAGTCTTTTCAATATAATTTTCCAAAACTTTGCGACACAAACACAAACTAAGTAAATTGTTTAGTTTAGTAATATCCAATTTTTAACAATGGTAATCCAATGGTAAAGTAGGACATCGGCAATTCATGTGAATTCAAAAATAAAAAGGTTATTGCTTATCCATTTTACCATGGACTAAGATTACCCACATATGTTACCTTTTATATTGCTTCACTGACTTCCTTCTTCATTTTATGCATCAAAAAGTGCTATTATTTTAGATAATATCTTTCTTTACTACATTTTTCATATAGGATTAGAATAGTACTAAAAATTTCCAACCTCTACAAAGCCGGTGGTAAAATAATAGTTACGCTGTTAAAAAATTATTAATAAAAATAGATTTAATTTACCTTTCCTAACCTTTTGCATTATTAATGTTAGGTCGTAGATGTTCCTAAGTTTAAGATATGCATTTTATCCTTTTCTTATATCCACTTCCCTGCATTCTTATGTGTAAAAATTACAATAATAATAAATTGCTTATTTTAAGTTTCATTTGTATTGAATTTATAAAAAAAATAAACCAATCAATTTTGTTTATTTTCTTTTGTTTTTCTTTAGTGGCAGCATCAAATTTTGGTGATTTCTTTTACGCTAACAGGTACAATATTGTAGTAATAGAAAACATAGTTATGGTTATACTAATTTTCTAATGATTGTTTCTTGAAATTGGTTTCTTTTTCTACAAACTTATTCTTTTAAACAAAACAAAATTTACACTTTTAGTTAATTCTAAGTCTTTTAAATGAATGTGCCATTTGTTTCTCAACTATTTGCAACTCATTAGTTTGTTTAGTATATCATCATACTTTCATGTTTTCATGTTACCATTATGCTTCCAAAAAATACAATCCCTTTATAGAAAAAAAAATGAAAGTAGGATGCTATAATACATTAATAATTGAAAGTGATTGCTTTATATTTCTTCCCTGTGATGTCCACGGGTTATAACCTAGTAAAATAAAAAATAAGAATTTGTACTTTAAGTGTTTATTTATATAATTGGTTAACTTAAATAAATAAAAATTGCTTATTTTTATTACGATTTCAAAACAATTAAAAAACAATAAAACCAAACTGATGAAGAAACTCTCTCTACTCCTGCAGGACCTGGTCATACAAAACCTTATTCAGTCGTCATCATCACTATGCGCCCTGGTCATACAAAACCTTATTCAGTCGTCATCATCACTATGCGCCCTGGTCATACAAAACCTTATTCAGTCGTCATCATCACTATGCGCCTTCAACCCCACTCTCCCGCAAAACCAAAAACTCACACATCCTCTTTCTCTCTCTAGAAACTAGAATCTAATATATTCTCTACTCTACTCTCTCTCTCTCTCTCTCTCTCTCTCTCTAGAGACCTGATTGATTGCGAAATAGTTACTTTATTCCATGTCTTAGTCTTTAAGTTTATCGTCAACGAAGAGTCAAACCATGGGGCACATTAGCGAGAACATTAATGTCATGGGAGCATTCGAAGCGATGTCGATCGGCAGCACAATTTTTAATGGGGGAAGCGAAGAAGACGAGGGATCGACTATGTCGGAAACCCAATTGCAGCAAACCGGAAAGGATCCGAGAAGAATTGCGAGAGGGTATGCCAGTTTGTGCTTTCGTTTTTGCTTTCTTATTTGATTTTTCTTTACTGATTCTTCATATATCTTCATTTGTTTACTTTTGATTAGTGATAGAATGTAGTTTATATCTTTCACAACCACCACATTATAGTTTTTTTTTTTTGTTCTTTTATTTCTTTATTTATGTTTTTTTTTTCTTGAAATTATGTTCTTGTTAAATATATACTTTTGAATGTAATTCATTACTTCATCAGTTTATTCCGTGATTTTTTTTACCTGTTCTTTGGTTAAAAAGTCATAAGCAATTCTTGAATTTAGATATCTTTTTACTTAAATTTCTTATTTGTATGTATCGAGTCAAATTCCCTGGGTAAGAATAGGCTTATGGCGTTTTATTTGTAAATATTTATGTTTAGTGTGTTTCTTGTTATGAAAGAGAAGAACAATCATTTTCTTAATTCTATATTAATTATTACTTCATTCATGAGAATCGAATAATTGGGTTCTTATCTATTTTCTTAAATATACATGGATGCTATCTTCTTTAATTTGTTGCATAAAGTTCTTTAATTAGTTACATAATTATAATTCTTGGCTTATAATATCATGTTACTTATTAAATATTGTGTGTTAAAAGTTGATTATCGGATCATTTAATTAGTTCACATATCTTTCAGACATCATTTATCCAGTGGATATGTTGAGAACAGGGGAAAATTGTGTTACAGAATGATACGAATTTTTGAATCAAAAGATTTCATGGTCACTCTTTTATATTGTTCCCCTTTGTTTTTTTATTGCAGTTACCAGATTGAATTATGTCAAAAGGCTTTAATGGAGAACATTATAGTGTATTTAGAAACAGGTTGTGGCAAAACCCACATTGCTGTTTTACTTATTTATGAGATCAAACGCCAGATGAACAAGTCCCAAAAGGAGATATGCATTTTTCTTGCTCCCACTGTGGCTCTTGTTGAACAAGTTAGTAGCTTTCCTTTGTTTCCTTCTTTACCCTTTGTTCCTTTCTTTTTTCCTTTAAAAAGTGTTGTTTGATATATTTGAGAAGCTTTTCACTTTTACTACTAGTGTGGCCTTGATGATGAAAACTGAAGACTGGAACCAATAATTATTCACTTTGACCGGTCAAACTTAGATTTTATTGTGAAATATTCTTCTTGTTCCTTATCATACTTTATTTATGCAGCAAGCCAAGGTTATAAGAGATTCTTTAGATTTAGAAGTTGGAATCTATTGTGGGAGTTCTAATCGTTTGAAGAATCATCATGATTGGGAGAAGGAATTGGAACAACACGAGGTTTGTTGCTTTAATTTGACAAAGGGTATATTTGTAATTTCAACATCGAAGTTCTTGACTCTTGATCTTGATAATGTACAGGTCTTTGTTATGACCCCACAAATCTTGTTGCATAATTTATCACACTGCTTCATTAGGATTGAGCACATTGCCCTTCTTATATTTGATGAGTGCCATTATGCACAAGTTGAAAGCAATCATCCTTATGCTGAAATCATGAAGGTAATAATTAATTACATGTTTCTTGATGTTTCTCTTTAATGCTTTGAGTATGTTGTAGTCAATGCATTTAACTTTTTTTTTTTTTTGAATTGATGCAGATATTTTACAAACCAGGTGTTGCTAAACTTCCCCGTATATTTGGCATGACTGCATCACCAATATTTGGAAAAGGTAATATGATCATGTTTAGCATATTTTTGCATTGTATATTAGATAGGTAAAAATATTTACTTCATCTAAATGTTTTGTATGTCATTATTGTCTTATTAGGTGCTTCAATTGGTAGTCTTGAAACCTTACTTCATGCCAAGGTGTGTCATCTATGTCACAAGATTCATTTTCTCCCGATAATTATTCATTTTTCAATAATTAAAGATTTAAATTCAACATTTTCATTATCGAACATTTTTATAGGTTTATACTGTTGAAGCTAGGGAAGAGCTAGATCGATTTGTGTCATCCCCTAAAGTTAATGTCTACTATTATGGCACTACAATAAGCAATTCATTAAGCCCTCATGTTACTTATTCTGCAAGACTTGAAACAATAAAGGCTGAGGTAAAATCTATTTTATGTCTTTTTTTCGATTAAATTTTTGCTATTGCTAATTATGTGTTTGATATATTAGTGTATGTTAGCTTTGATCACAAAGATTGAGGATCCTTCTATTCTTAAGAACACCAAAAAGGCACTTCAACGTCTTCATGGAAATCTGTTGTTTTGTCTTGAAAATCTTGGCCTTTGGGGAGCATTACAAGTAAGTTCTCATTGCACTATTGATCATACTTGTGATTTTATTTATAAATCCTAAACCCTAAATATGATTTTGTTTCAAATTGTGAAGGCATGTCGGATTTTATTGAAAGGAGATCTGGTTGAGAGAAATGAAGTTATCGAGGTAAATGAGGAATGTAGTGATGATATTCTATGTGGAAGTTTTCTATCACAAGTTGCTTCCTACTTCACTTCCGAATGCAAAAAAGGTACATTTTCTTCTTTCCAAAAAGCATTTCTCCTTTAAGTTGTTCTTTCTGCATTAAGTCAAAATAAGCTTCTTCTAGATTACCCTATTGAAGCAAACTGCATGGAAGCCGATTTATCATCCGTGGAGGCTTTGAAAGTTCCGGATTTCTCTTGGAAGCTCTTACGACTTATCCAAATTCTTTCCAATTTTAGGTTTGTAACACATGGGAAGAAAAAGCAATCAACTTTTGAAACTTTTTTTTCACCACTAAACAATCTTTTTTACGTACATATATATGTTGTTATTCCCAGGGCAATACCGGATATGAAATGTATAATATTTGTGAATAGAATCATAACCGCAAGATCGTTAGCATATGTCCTTCAACAACTTAGGTTTTTGTCCGCATGGAGGTGTAGTTACCTTGTTGGGGTCCACTCAGGGCTCAGAAATATTTCACGAAAAAGCACAAACGCCATTTTAGAGAAGTTTCGTTCTGGTGAGGTATGCATTATGCTACTTTACACCTATTTTGTATGAATACTTGTTCACATAAACAGGTCGTGTCACAATCTATCAGTGTCAGGGTCAGGGTCAGTGTCTGTTATGTCCTGTCATGCATAACAAGTGGAGCCTCATTTTACAGATATGTTTTTGCATAAAGAGGTAATTTAGGGTTTTGTTATGGCAGTTGAATTTGTTAGTAGCAACAAAAGTGGGAGAGGAAGGGCTTGATATCCAAACATGTTGTCTTGTTATAAGATTTGATCTTCCGGAAACCGTTGCTAGTTTTATACAATCAAGAGGTCGTGCACGCATGCCACAATCTGAATACGCCTTTTTGGTAGATAGGTAACACACTTTATTTTATTTTATTATTTTTTTTTTTTAAGTCTTAAACTGTTACATATTTGCAGGGGGAACCAAAAAGAGATGAATTTGATACAGAACTTCACCAAGGATGAAGTCAATATGAACAATCAAATATCTTCACGATCATCAACTGTGAAATATGTTGATTTTGAGGAGAAAACATATACAGTTGATTCAACAGGTGCCACCATTAGTTCAGGATCTAGTGTTTCTTTACTTCACCGATATTGCTCCAAACTCCCACACGATGAGTAAGATTTTCTTTTCTACATCTTTGGAACCATAAGTTTCTTGCATTTGCATGTTAATATATTCTAGAGTAAATTACATTTTTGGCCCCCAAGTATAGCTGATATTTGCAAATTTTGTCCCCAAAAAGTTTTCTTTTGCATCTTTGGTCCTTATTTGAAGTTCTTGCAACACTTTTGGTCCTTGTAGTTGCTCCAAGTAAGATGACTATTATGTAATTTAGTTCGAGTAAATTAGCAAGTTTATGTGTGTGTTACTAATCAACATTGTAAACTTAGTAATTTTATTTTTATGTATAGATTCTTCAACCCTAAACCACGGCTATATTACTTTGATGATGCGGAGGGAACAGTTTGTTACATAATTCTTCCCGCAAATGCCCCTATCTACCAAATCATAAGTTTGCCTCAACCATCTCGTGAAGCTGCAAAAAAAGACGCCTGTTTAAAAGCATGCCAACAGTTGCATCAATTGGGCGCCTTAACCAACTACCTCTTACCCGATGATGAAGTTGATGAAGACACCCAAGATTCTTCTGATTCTGATTCCGATGAGGGTTAGTTTCATAAATGAAACAAGTTATAATCTTTATTTTATAGTAGTAAATCTTTATATTTAATTTAATGAAATTTGTGAACAGAGGATAACTCACGAAGAGAGCTCCATGAGATGCTTGTTCCCTCTGCTCTTCGAGAACCCTGGATTAAATCCAAACGTACAATGATTCGTCTCAACTCCTACTTCATAAAATTTACCCCTTCCCCTGCTGATAGACTTTATAAAGATTTTGGTCTTTTTTTAAAAGCACCAATCCCTCAAGAGGCCGAAAGAATGAAACTTGATCTCCATTTGGCTAAGGGTCGATCTGTCTTGACCGAAATCGTCCCATGTGGCGCCTCCACATTCGACAACAACGAGGTAATCATATTACAGTGTCAATGTCAGTGTTAATAATATCTGTGATGATAATTTATTTATACAGATTGTGCTAGCGGAGAGGTTCCAAGAGATGTGGCTAAAGGCAATAGTGGACAAGTCGGATTTTGCTTCCAATTTTGTCCCTTTAGGAAAAGATGATGTCAGCAATTCCGTCTCGACATTCTACCTAATGCTACCTGTGACTGTTGACCAAGGAGGATCGATGAGTGTTGACTGGAAGCTGATTACAAGATGTTTATCATCACCGATTTTTAAATCTCCACGAGATATTGGATTTGATCAACATCAACCTTTTTGTTTGGATGATTGTTTGTATCTTGCAAATGGGCCCACACGGATCGATGACATAGTGAATAGTTTGGCTTATGTTCCATGCAAAGATACGTTTTTCTTTGTCTCGGATGTTCTTCATGACAAGGACGCGTTCAATCTTTTTAAAGAAAACACAAATTATGTCGACCACTATGCGGAAGTGTACGTCTTTACCCTTTCCAATTGTAAATTTTACGTGATTGCCCCTTGTGAGAATCGAGTTATTTACTACTTTCCTAATTTATGAACAGATTCGGCATCAAAATGTCGCACCCCAATCAACCTCTTTTAAAAGCCAAACAACTCTTTCGATTGGACAACTTGTTGAGGAAGAGAGGGAATGCTGGTAAAGCTGTAAACCGGTTTAATTATGTCTTCTTCTAAACACTAAACCCTAAACCCTGATCCTGATATTTGAAACAGAGCCACGAGAAAAGGAGGAGCATTTCGTAGAGATACCTCCTGAACTATGTGTTGTGAAAATTCTTGGTTTTTCAAAGGACATTGGAAGTTCATTGTCATTATTGCCTTCAATTGTACACCGATTGGAAAGCTTTCTTGTTGCAATTGAACTGAGGCATAGACTGTCTGCTTCATTCCCAGAAGGCTCACAAGTTTCTGCAGATCGCGTATGGATACTTGATAATACTTTTGTTTGTTCTTATTACACCATTGTTTCCTCTTTTTATGAGATTATTGTGTTTTCGATTTATCAGATTTTTGAAGCAATTACTACAGAGAGATGCAATGAACGATTTTCTCTTGAAAGACTCGAGGTGTTAGGTGATGCGTTTCTCAAATTTGCAGTTGGTAGACACCTTTTTCTGTTGAATAATGCTCTTGATGAAGGACAACTAACGAGAAAACGTTCCAATATGGTTAACAATTCCCATTTATTCAAGCTTGCATTATCCAACAATCTGCATGTAAGACTCTGTTTCTTTTCTTTTTCTAATAAATGTTATTTTTTGAGAACATTTGATGAAATTTTTGTCCAGGTTTACGTACGTGATCAACCATTCGAGCCTTTCCATTTCTACCCTTTGGGTCGAAGATGTTTGAAAATATGCACAGAAGCCACAAGAGTCAGCATCCATTCTTCACATGAGAGCAATTTAACCACAGGAGTAACCACTGAAGTTAGATGCAATAAAGGTCATCATTGGTTACAAAAGAAAACCGTTGCAGATGTTGTGGAAGCTCTTGTTGGAGCTTTTATAGTTGATAGTGGTTTTAAAGCTGCAATTGCTTTTCTTAAGTGGATTGGTATCCCAGTGGAGTTCAAAAGACTCTCATGTTGCTGAAATTTGTGCTTCCAGTGCTATCTTTACTGCACTCAGTGACCAAATTGACATTCCTACCCTTGAAAGTCTTTTAGGCTATCAGTTTCATCATAAAGGTCTTCTCTTACAGGCCTTCTTACATCCATCTTACCATAACAATTACGGTGGTTGCTATCAGGTAAACACCACAAGCCACAATCTCAACCTATTTCTTACATGTAACTCTATATTTTTACCTTAAACTTGATCAAATGGGGTACTTATGATAACATTTTAACAGAGATTGGAGTTTCTTGGAGATGCTGTATTGGATTACCTGATCACCTCTTATCTTTATTCGGTGTATCCAAATTTGAAACCCGGTCAACTCACCGATTTAAGATCCCTTTCAGTCAACAATAATTCATTCGCGGGTATTGCTGTAAATCGATCTTTCTACACATACATGCTATGTGATTCCAATAGTCTTGTCCTGTCTGTGGATAAATATGCCAAATTTTTCAAGACTTCTGCATCAAAGAATGGTGTAGTAGAAACCGTGTCATGTCCTAAGGTAACTTACTATACTTAAATATTTTATTATGTCTTGTATGATAATTAATAATTTTTTTTTTTATTTTTCAGGCTCTTGGTGATTTGGTTGAGTCTTGTGTTGGAGCCATTCTTCTTGATTCAGGGTTTGATTTGGATGTGGTTTGGAACATAATGATCTCGTTTCTTGATCCCGTGATGAAATTTTCCGCCTTGCAGCTTAATCCTGTTAGGGAACTTCAAGAACTTTGTCAGTACTATAATTGGGAATTGACGTTTCCGTCCCTAAAGAAAGACGGGGCGTTTACGGTTGAAGCAATCGTTGATGGAATTGGAGTTAGTGACACTGCTTCTGCTACAAATTTTAATAAAAAAACCGCCAAGCGAATCGCGTGTCAGAAACTGTATTTGTCGTTGAAGGTAAAAAAGACCAGTATACCCTTGGGTTCTTTACACGGTTTTCTTACGTGGGTTTATGGTGTTACAGGACAAAGGTTATAAGACGAAAGTGAAATCGTTAGAGGAAATCTTGAAATCGAGTAAAAAAATGGAGGCGAAATTGATTGGATACGATGAAATCCCGACAGATATTGATGTTTCACGTGCCAATCAAGCTGTGGACTTGAACTCGGATAAAGTTAGGAATATTCCCATAGAAGGGCATTCTCGTCATTTAAATTCTTCGGTTAAAAGCAGTAGCGGTATTAGACGGTTGTCACAGCCCACTCCTCAAAGAAGCCCTTCATCCTCAGACGTCAGTGATAGCAATTCACAAGCTCCTTCAGGTTAAAAAAAAAAATTAATTGTCTCACTGACAGACATCTGTCTGAGTCCCAGTCCAATCTGTTCTGTCATGTCATGTAATATCCGGTTTCTTTTCAGGTGACGGGGTGAAGAAATCATCGGCAAAATCACATTTATACGAAATTTGTGCTATCAACTGTTGGAAGCCACCTTTGTTTGAATGTTTCCAAGAAATGGGACCCGCCCACCTCAAACAGTAAGTTGAAGCGCATCATTGGTCGATCTGCAACAAGTGTTATATACTTATATACATGTTTTTTTTTTTTTTGTTTTTGTTTTTTCATTTAGGTTTGCATTCAAAGTGACAGTGATAATTGAAGAAGCCTCTAATACAATCTTGGAGTGTGTAGGAGATCATCGCACTAAAAAGAAAGATGCAGCTGAGTTTGCAGCTCAAGGGGTAATTTGGTACTTAAAGCAAGTCGGGTATTTACAAAATTAGGATCCCGGTATTTTCCTATTTTGATCAATGTATGCATATATATATAATATATAAAACTGGATGTAGTGTAGTGGTAGTTATGACTTGTGTGAGGCAAAGGGTATACATATAGTATAGAGCCCTGTATACACACACAAAGTCGAGTGCACCATTTATGAAGCTGTATGCATTATCTTCATACAATTATGAATGATGTGATGTGTTGTCTTCCTTCTTGTGTATTGGAAGAAGTGGTTAAAAAGAGTTTTTGGTAAAATTTATAGTTTATTCAACAGTTTCAGTTTTCAAGAAATGTCTGCTTAAGGTCTGTTATCTGTTTGTTTGTATCTGTATGTGTTTGATAGCAAGTTGGAATGGAATGTGTGTGATTGCCAAAAAAAAATAGGGTAAATTACACGAATGGTCCCTATGGTTTGTGGTAATCTGCGTGTTTGGTCCCTAACATCTTTTTTTAACTTGGAGGGTCCCTATATTATATTTTTGTTACGTGTTGGGTCCCTCACAAATATAAAAAAACTAAATTACCCTTACTTATTTTGTTTTACTTTTTATTATTTATTAGTTTATTCAAAATTAATAAAATATATGATATGGGCCCTATTGTTCTCCCTTGTACCAAAGACACAAACCTTCATTTTATTTGCTTTCCTCTGCCACTCTAATCCTCCACCACCACCCACCCTTCTACCTCCTCCTTCCTATCTCTTCATGGGAAACGTACATCTCCCCTTCCCCCATTCTTCAATTCGACCCTGTTGATTTCCAGGAGGACATGAATCCCATTGATTTGAAGGAAAACTTGAATACCCTTTTGATTTCAATTGAGGCAGATGTCTGGTTCTTTCTTCTCAGAAACTCCTAACAGAAATTATCTAGCCTCGTCAAAATTCCCACCTGGAAATGCCAAAGACGATTACCCTTTCGATTTTATACATTTTCTTCCCATATGGGTTTCGTCACATACTCTTCTCTTACATAAAACAGAAATCGATTGGCTCCATCATCGATCTTTCATTATCGATAGGGTTTCAAACATTTCAATTTATGGTTTCAGATGTAAACACTTGAACACCAAGGCAATGGAAGTTTCATCACAAAGATATGTCTGTTTTGATTTATGGACTTTTGATTTTAGGTTTCTGGTTTCAGATGAAAAACACGATGTCTATGTTTCATCACAACACACTATGTCGTTAGCTTTCTTGAATTTTGGTAAGCAACAAGATGAAGATAAGTACATATATAAAGAGACTTGAGATAGTGGGCCCGTTTGATGTTTTGTAGGGATTGGGGATGGCCGAAAACGGTGAACGAAGGTAATGATGGTGGTTATCGGAGGTAAACGGTGGTGATGGCACTGGTTGTTGGAGAGGTGGTTGTAAAGGAGGAATAATAGAAGTAGTTGATTGCCTTTGATTATGGTTGGAATGTAGTGGTGAATTCGTCAAATGCTGAAGAGGAATTCGACAAATGATTTTAAAGAATGAATATGACAGGGAGGGAGATGGTGAAGGTTAAGGATGAGTGGGACCTACCTACTTATTAATCACATTTTTAATAGAAAAATAGTAAATAAACAATACAAAAATTAAAAAGAAATGAATAAGGGTAATTTAGTCTTTTTATGTTTGTGAGGGACCCAACGTGCAATAAAATGCAATATAGGGACCTTCCGAGTTAAAAAAAGAAGTTAGGGACCAAGCACACAGATTATCCCAAATCACAGGAACCATTCGTGTAATTTACCCCAAAAAATATTGAGTTGGTTTATACTTTTATACATAAGATTTCAGGATTATTCTTAAGACCAGGGCCAACTTCAACCATTTAGATGGTTTTTAATTGCAACTTTACAGATGATAATCGATCAAGATTAAGGCAACATCAATTTTGAGAACTCAACTTTTAATGTGGTCTTAAGGATAGCTGGCTGGAAAACAATCGGAATCGAAATTATTAATTGCAAGTTTAATTCGAGCTTGTCTTCTTTGAGTGTGTGTATCATTTTTGGGATCAATTTACAAAGAAGTTTTGGGTTGAGGTGGAATTCAAAGTAATCACATCAAGTTGTTAACAAAAATTCTTGACTTGCATTTTTAAGGGATCAATTAAAGAGTGAAAGAGTTCCACCGAAGTGGTACAATAGGAGGCATTTGATACTCTTTGTAAATCAACAATCACATAATGATGACCATGAATATGGACCATAAAAGTTGTTGAACCTTCTTTTTTAGATGATGAATGATAACGTGTTTGTAATGATAAAATGAGTATTTGTCATGATAAACTGACATTTTAGTTACCGCATAATCTGATCTCTGAAGTAGTTCACTAGATGAATTATGTTGTTGAAATAGTCTTCATCAATCAATGATTATATGTGCTAATAATTGCTGAATAGATTTGATTGAATTTCACTCTAATCATTTTCACTACAACAAATAGAAATAACTATTGTCCAACTCCAAGCATTTCTTTGTGCTCGTATGGATAAATTCTTGTGAAATTTCATTCATAAGTGAATTTGAAGGGTGTTGTTATTGGCACCGAATTACACATGTCAAAACCATTTTACTAAGTCAAAATCACTTTTGATTTGGTTTAAACCCCAAATTGAAATGACATCTACTTATTCCTCCGCTATCTTCCCCTTTTCTTCACACTTTTTTTTTGGAAATTGTAATGCTTTTATTTTCTTGGATTAACTAATAATTATTGATATACATATACTAAATTATCAAGAAAAAAAGCAATAACTAAATATAAAAAGACACAAGAAGTATAAAGAAAAAAAAGTATCACGATAGCTAGCTATAAATCTATATTTAATACCTATTAATTCTTTCTAAATAACTATTATACTTAGTAAAACATAAATTATTTCTTTTTAAATAACTATTATACTTAATAAAACATAAATTGTTTATTTCTAAACAACTACTATACTTAATTTGAAGAACAAAGCATAATGATTGAGGATTAACGACGGATCGACGATAGGGTTTTCATATTATTTTTAGAAACTATGTTTTTATAGTGTTTTGGAAACTATGTTTTTATAAAGTTTAACAAATGAGTTTTTATATTACTTTTGGAAGAAAGTTTGATATTGTATCCCAAAATGAAAATTTTAGTTTGAAATTTGTGACGTTACATTGATATTGTTGCACCTGTTGGTAATTAAATTTACAAGGTCAATATCATTGACTATTTCTAATATATAATTACGAATGAGCACAAAAAAAACTTTAAGTTACTTATAAAGTTGTCCAGTCAAAACACTTAAAAATGTTTACTTAGACATGATTATTAGGTGTGGCTGAAACGACAACCTACCGTCTAAGGACTAATCGGAGATTAATATTAGATTAAACAAACATAATATATATATATATATATATATATATATATATATATATATATATATATATATATATATATATATGTTAATCTACAACTATTATAAAATAGTCAATGTAACTCGGTCAGGGACCAACAACTCAATTGATTTGATTGAGTTTAGGAGGTGCAACTAGCAATGATGGTATTTATAGTAGTATCCAAACAAAACACTTTATAAATTAAGTAAATTATAAAAATGATGATTAGATTTACGAAAATTTACATCATATCGTATGAAATTGCTATCGGAGTCTGGAAATAACAAAGCTACATCAATTGCATCTAGCAAATAATTTAATTTGTTGTCGGATTTGCATATACACTAGGTGTGAGACCCATGTATTACATGGGTTTAATTAAAAAAAAAACAAATATAAAATTTTAACAATTTGAAAAGTTTGAATTTATAAGAAAAATAGAAAAATTTGAATTATTAAAATTAATGAGATTTTAATGTATTGAATACATTACATATATAAACTCTTTCTAATAAATATTTTACATATATATTACCTTATACATTAAATGTGGAATTTTAATTTAATAAAATAAAAAATACAATAAAATGACAAGTGGAAAATAGAAAATTTTTAAAATCTAGAAAATGCCATGTGTTCAAATGAATGAGAAAATGACAAGTGGCAAAAAAGGAGGATATTCCAAATAGTCGTGGTACGGGTTATTTTGCTAACTTTCTCAAATGGTAACGACAAATCAAAAGTACAAACTTTTGAAGCGACACAAGAACTAGATTCGCCTCCCCATATTTTTCTATTATTTGGAATCATAAGATTATAGATTTAAAAGTATGATGGAATTCTTGAGAGATTTTAAGAGACAATAGTGATTTGACCGATACCGGTTCGACTTGAGACCGATAAAGACCTGCGGTTCATTGAATTTGGAGATCGGACCCGGACTGGAAGTCCGGCCGCTTAGAGTAGTAACTGGTAGTTAGAGTCATCCTATCTTCAAACCAGACCCCTCGTCGGAGGGATTACGCCGGTGGTGGCGACGACCACTATCAAAAATCGTAGAAGATGCTGTCTTTGCATTCGAATTTTTCGGTAATAGGCAAAACCTCACAACTTATGCGTATTGGAAAACACCAATCTCCGGTGGTGGCTTTTTCTTCTTCCTCTCATCTTCATCAACAGTCTCTCAGGTAAATATAGTCTGATTGTAATATCTTTAGGTGTCTGTTGAAGATTACTTGTTAACGTTAGACCTACTAAAATCGCCGTGGTTGAAGCCAAAAAACTGATAATCATTTAAGTAAAAGCTTCTTTAAGCTCCAAAACCTAAATTGCGCGTCCTAATTTTGAGCTTCATAGTCGCAATTGGACTAGTTATAACAAACTGAACTCTTATTAAGAAACGATTTTTGGTAAATTAGAATTTAAGTTTGGAGCGTAATGAAGAGTGTTTATGTTCATGTGTAGATATGCTGTACTTGGTGCGGGGTTTGCTGGATTATCAGTAGCATGGCACTTGCTGGAAGTACACACTTTTTCTCTCCTATGTATATGTGTGATAATTGAAAGTTTTGAAATAAGAAGCTTGAGTTGTTTATAGAAATTGAAGAATATAACATGCATTTTCATGAAAATTGAAGAATAAAGTTCCAATTTCTCAATGTTTTTTCAGCATAGTCCTATCGAGTTGCACATTTCCATAGATGTTCTTGATGAGGTTGGAATTGGGGGTGGTGCTTCTGGAGTGTCGGGAGGACTCCTTCATCCTTATTCTCCTAAAGGTCTCATCATTTCACCACTATATATTCCATTCATTTTTTAGCTATATGTCTCTTTTCTATTTTGATATTTGGATAAGTCTGTTTCTGTAGTTAAGCCTTTATGGAGGGCAGCTGAGTGCTGGGAAGAGAGTTTAAAGCTTTTAAGAATTGCTGAAACAGCAATACAGACCAAGGAATCAAGCTTCAACAATGGAGAAATTGCTCAGAGTTCTTATGAATTTATTGCACGAAGAAGGTTTTGCCCTCAATTCTCTCAGAACTTCTGTATAACAGTTGTTAGAATCACCATTCACACAGATAATAGTAGTTGTAGGAAATGAAAGATAAAGATCATACAAACACGATTTATATCATTTGATACAAAAACATGGATAAGATAGAAAAACTTACATCTCTAACTCTACCATTGTGATTTTTCATAAGAATTTTGGTCCAAAAGTTGGGCCTTGGTGTACATATCTAACAAATATAAGCTATAATTGAATTTATTCACTTCAGGGGTATCCTTAGACCAGCAGTCAGCTTGAAGAACATGAGCATAATGAATGAAGTAAGTTCTCCAAATTGTACATATCTATTGATTTGTTAATTAGGATCCTACTTTCATTTCATCCTATTACAACCTTGTACTTTGAAAAATCTACCAAATTATAGCAACAATTTCAACTATTATAATTGGCTAGAATTTCCAAAGAATGAAAAAAGAAAAGATTGAAAGTACAATGCTATAGTTGAGTAGATTTTTCAAAACACAACGCCTTAAGAAGAATGTAATAGAATATATACATTTGAAAGTATGTTGCTTTTTCTCTTAATAGGCACATAATAATTAATTTTTTCCTACTAGTAGAATGCTCAGACATCCCTTGCCAGTTGCAGAATACATTCAATCAATGAAGATGCAGCCCAGATATTAATGCCTAACATATGTGTACCTTCCAATTTGGCCTTTCATATGCAAGGTGCTATAAATATACATCCCCAACCCTATCTTGAGGTATGGAAACCTTAATATAATAATATATACACATATATTTTAACCACTTACCATTGTTTCTTGTATCCTTTTTATTGATTGCATAGAAATTTCACTTTGATTAGGCCCTATATGTAGCCTGTGAAGCTCTAGCTACAGACATGTCCAGTGTGGGCCCCGGTGAAAAAGAGATAAACTTTCACAAGAAATCTATTGACAATCTCCTTCAACTAGAAGGTAAGTAACATATGTGATATATGTATATATATATTTTTTATAGTTCCTTTCTATGAATGTCATGTAATACTATGTTGCTGATTTTCTTGTTAAATATAAGTAGGAAAAATTGTGTTGTACTTTATTTATTTAATTATTTCCATAATTGGTAAATAAATGTAGTACATTGCTATTATGGGTAAAAAATAAAGTACATTGAAGTATGTTCCTATTTTCCTCTCTTAAGTAATATGTTTACATGATCCATTTTAGGGGAATATGATGCAGTTATCGTATGTCTGGGCGCCAGATCCACTTTCCTTCCAGAACTTTCCGGAAGGCTGCCATTGAGGACTTGCAGAGGTGTCACTGCCCACTTCCATCTGCCTGAAAACATCGGGTATTAATATATTTAATCTGCACTAAAAAAAAAGATTGATTTTATATTAAAAATTGAACTTCTTGCTAATAAAATATGTTTCAGAGAAGAAATCCCTGAACATAGCCCTTCGATTTTATCAGACGCATGGCTTGCGATCCAGAATCCACGAAATTTACACGTGGGGTCCACATGGGACTGGAAATCTTGCAACTATTCACAGAAAGTGTCGATGGAAGAAGCTTCTAGAGCTTTGGAAGAACTTTTACCGAAAGCATCTGCGGTATATCCGAGCTTAAGAAAATGGGTTTTTCATGGAGCATCCGCGGGTCTAAGAGCAATGCCACCTCTCACAGGTAACGGATCTCTTCCACTTTTAGGGTGTGTAGATGATTTCATCTCTCAAAATCATTCGAGTAAATTCTGGTTATTTTCAGGCCTCGGATCTCGAGGTCTTTTGTATCATGCTTGGCTCGGGAAATTAATGGCACAAGCTGTAATTTCTTGTGATGAGGGTGTAATACCCCAAGAATTCACCTCATGGAGACCAAAGTTATGATACTATTAGTCCGTTTTGTTGAAGATTGGTGGGAATTGGAAATTTAGTTATAAATATAATGATTGATTGTGATTGAAGATAAGTATTTACAAACACAAAAAAGTATTAGATACAGAATTTACATTACAATACTCTTTGGTTCTGTTATGCATTACCCACTTCACTTGTAGTTTCCTCTTCATCTACACCAGTCAAAATCCCAGTTGTCTACCCTTAAGACTTCCCTACTACCAGATTCAACAACAAATAGGACATCAAAAGTTAACAAAAAAAATATTCACATTTCTTGCTGAATTCCTTTCTTTTCCTATTATAACTTCCTCAGACTTTTTCCTAGCGTAGTACTAGTGTGGTGGTTTGTGGCGGTGTTTTGTGGGTACGGGTGGCCAATCCCTTCACAACCACCATTGACTTACGCCATGTGGCGGTGTTGGATATTGACTATTTGACTATTTTCCATTCAATGATTTGTGGATGATGAACTTGAGGATATCGAGAGGGATGTAGGTGATGATACTGAAGAGCCAGATTACTCCCGCCCATCGCCATCCAACTCCTTTCATTTCCGCAAAATCCCAGTCTGAATATACCGCAAGCATTGTAGCCACCTGTATAAAAATATGGGTGGTGAGGGTAGTTTGGTCTTTTAATTTTTTTTTTTTTAAAAAAAAGAGATGTTATTTTGGTCCTTACTATTTGGGCTAGAGCGAATGCGAGTAACAGCAAGAAGCCAGGGCGCTCAACAAATGACCAACTCTGAGACCTGGTCACAAAGATGAGGGCTTGGCTAATGATGCTCACTTGAAGGTAAACGGCCGCCGTGATTTCGTCCTCATTTCCAATGAGCGAGTGAACACCAAAAAGCTTCTAAAATATTTTAATTAAATTTCATACGTTAAAAATGTTAATTCTGTAAATAAAAAATAAACCGGTCACACAACCAACATGGGGAAGGTAAATCACTGTCTCAGCTTGACTTACCGGGAAGAAGTTGGTTCTTGTTGTGAGCCAAAAAAAGAGGACGGTTACGAGTGCGAGATAGGATCCGAGGACGATACCAGTGGCGAAGATTTCGTTAAGCTTCCAAGAATCTGGGACGGACGATGGCTTGACCCGATCGGTTGATATCGTCATGATGGTGCTATCGTTAAGGAGTGCGATAATGAGGATCATGAATGGAGAGAAGTCGAACCTCCATATGAGTGTGAGGAGCATGAACCCCATCACGATACGGATGGTGATGGTGACTGCATAGATCGTGTAGTTTTTCATCCTTTGGAAGATTGCTCGACTTGTTAATACTGCGTCCACGATAACGCCAAGCCCGGGCTCGGTCAGGATTATATCGGAGGCGCTCCTTGCAGCGTCTGTGGCGTCGGCCACTGCGATTCCGATGTCGGCTCGCTTGAGTGCGGGTGCATCATTCACTCCATCTCCGGTCATACCGCATATGTGATTCCTTTGTTGTAATCTCTTGACAATCTCGTATTTGTGCTCTATAGGAACGAAGAAATTCATGTTAATTTGCAAGTGTAATAGACATGACAGAACAAAACATGTTGTACTGCATTTGACATGCATTGGATTAGTCTTTGTGCATCTCTACTTGGCGTTATGGATTATTATTAATTACCGGGGAAAACTCCGGCGAAGCCATCGGCTTTCTCGATGAGGTCATCAATGGAAGCATCGTTGCCACCTTGTCCAAGAAGTGAAGAAGACGGATACATGTCGGACCCCATGCCAAGTCTTCTACCGGTTTCCTTACCAATAGCGAGTTGATCACCGGTTATCATTTTAACTTTAACACCAAGTTCCAAAGCCTTTCGAATAGTCTCAGCACTGTCGTGTCTTGGTGGATCAAAAAGAGGCAATAATCCAACAAACTCCCATGGTGAACCTGTACTCTCTTTCGACTTCTCTGGCACAGTTTGACGAGCAACTCCCAATGATCGAAGACCTCGGTTTGCATACCCCTCAATGACATCATTTGCCCGCTTCAGCGATTCGCCCTTGAGCTCACAAAGTTGGATGATCTAGATAATATATACCAGTCATCGGTTAGCAATTTAAAATTTGGATATTAAAGGGAAAAGTACAGAAAAAGACTTCTATAGTTTTACAATTTTATCGATTTAATAACGTAGCTATTTTACTTAGTGATTGATCGATCGTATTTTGACTTAAAAAAGCTTTTTCTCACAAACTCGGTTTTAAAGTCAAAATACAAAAGATAATATGTTTGGTTTTGCTTTTAAAATAACTTTTAGACTTTTAACTTTTCCAAAAAGTTAAAAAAATCTAAAAGATGTTTGACAAAATAGAAAACTCATTTTAAATTAACTTTTAGTCATTTAGTCATGACTAAAAATGAGTTTTTTAAAAAGTGAAATCTCATCTTTTTGTAACTTTTGGTTTTTATCTCTTAAAAGATTTAAAAATCCACCCAAACACATTTTAAATACATTTTTCTAGAAAAAATTCTTTTAGAAAATGTTTTTTTTACAGAATGACTTTCAACTTAAAAAAGAAATCCCAAACATAATATTCATTCAGTAGTTAGAAGGCTTTTACTATTTAGAAGTCAGTTGCCCCGGCAAAATACCAATAAACCAACATAATTTAATTATGTTATTGGTTTAGTCTCTCTCAGTTATTAGTTATTCTTTTGTCGATTTAGCTATTGAGCTATTGTTACGAGAGTCACAAAAGTAGTAGCTTACCCGTTAGAAAAAAGTTATAACGTTTTAATTACTTCGATATAATAATTAACCGGCTGAGTTGATAAAATAGTAAAATTACAAATGTCTTTTTTTGTTGCATTTTGTTTGATATTAAATCCGATAGAAAATGCACAATAAACAAGCGATTTACTAATCACACAAGTATTCTAATACTTTTGTCAAGTTAGTCCTTCATAAATTAAAAAATAATAATAATAATAAGTTTAATAGCAAAATCGAAATATCTTGCATTTTGCTGAAATCATATTACTTGAAAAATGGTTATTTTAAAAAAAAAAAAAAATTATAATATTTTAATTAGCAAATAAAACAATTTAGTAACTAAATCGACAAAAACTATATATAAAAAACAATTGTTTTCTTGTATTTTGTCTGAATTAAATGCAATAGAAAAGACAAACAAAGAAAGTGATTTATTACTTCTTCCGGTGCACCCTTGCTAGATCGATGCCAATCCCCATGATTGTCAATATAAGTGATGGCCGTACGCTTATCCACGGGATTAAACGGAAGAAAATGAACCTCCTTGATTGCCGCTCGCGCTTCTTTTGGGTCAGCCAACATGTTGACCATGGACGCATCAATAGCGTCCTGGTTTTCAGTCCTCGAAGCCCGAGCACCATACAATACCACTGTATCCTTGTCACAATCCTTGGCAAATACCTATTATTTGATTCACAAATAATCATATAAATAAAATCCGTGTTTGTCCAAGCTAATAATTAAAAAAAAAAAAAAAAAAAAAAAAAAAAAAAAAAAATGACCTCGATTAAGTTTTTGTCGACGCTTAGTTTGTTAAGAGTGAGGGTGCCTGTTTTATCGCTGCAAAGAATATCCATGCCTGCCATTTCCTCAATGGCGGTCATTCGCTTGGTGATGGCACCTTGTTGTGAAAGGTGGTGGGCCCCGATTGCCATTGTTACAGATAACACTGTAGGCATGGCAATCGGGATCCCTCCAATCAGAAGGACCAATAGATTATCAATACCGTCTCTATATGCTCTTCGTTGAATCGGATATATCACTATAATCTCGATCACCATTCCAACCGCAATCGAACATATACAAAAGTTACCGATGTCGGTTAATACCTAATGAACATGTGAAATTTCTAATAAGAAAAAAAAAATGGTACATGCATTAAACACTTGTAACTTTATTCGGAAAAGTGTCACGTGCATCAAATGATAAAAATATATAATATAGTATATGATATTTTTTGGCATTAAAAAAGAAGATGCAAAATGCATGCATAAGCACTTGTACGTTTTACCTGTTGGAAATGACCAGATGGATTAGTGCTATCGACAAGGTGTGCAGCCTTGCCAAAAAACGTACGGACGCCGGTGGCGATGACAACAGCCTCTATCTCTCCCTGCTTACACGTGGACCCGGAGTACACGGCGTCACCGGTGTTCTTAGTCACAGGCAGCGATTCTCCGGTAAGTGCAGCTTGGTCGATCTTTAACATGTCACCTTCAAGGAGACGAGCGTCGGCCGGAATAATATCTCCCAGCTTCACGCATATCATATCTCCGGGAACCAAGACAGAAGCCTCCTCCTCCCTCCATTTCCCGTTTCTCAAAATTTTACACTTGGGAGCCAGGCTGGCCATCAGGGCGGAGGCGGCGTTTCCGGCATTGTTTTCCTCGACAAAACTGATGGTTGCGTTGATCAGAAGAAGCACAACGATGCCTACAAAATCCGGCCAATCCGGCGGCCGACCACCACCATTGGCCAAAACGATCGCCATGATCGCTGCAATTTCCATCACCCATGAAAGGGGATTCCACATGAACCCTAGAAATTTGAAGAGTTTGCTTTCCTTTTTCTCCTGGAGCTTATTGGGGCCAAATATTTCGAGCCTTCTCGCACCTTCCTCGTCGCTCAACCCATCTCTGCTACACTTTAAGCTCTTGAACAATTCTTCGATAGGGATTTTCTCAAGATCAACTTCGTTATTTTTTATTTGATCCATGGAATTATGAGCCATGGTTATAGAAAATACTAAATTCAATTAAATGAAAAATAAAGCAATAAAGATGTTAAGATAAAATCGGGCCTCTCTAAAATCCCTCTTCAGAGAGGCTCCACCATGCTTGCGGACATAGTAGAGGCTTTTTTAGGAGACGATGAGAGGGAATTGCAGAAGCCCCTTTTTATCTAAAAAAGAAATACTTGCTTCGTATCTTCTGGTTTTCAAGATGAGTCGCTTTTAGTTTCTTTCTTTCATCCCTGCAATTAGGAACTAGGGGTAATCCATTATTTGCTTCCAGGAAGCTCGGTCCTTCATTTACGTGTGAGGTTTTATTTGATACGTTTGATATTTTGTTAGGTTAGTATACCATGTAACAACATAACATGTGCTCATTCATTCATTAATTCATTTTATATAGACATTTTTTTTTTTTGTGAGGTTTTTATTTCATATTTCACACGTTTGATTATTGTCCCTAGATTAATGTCTTTTGTATGTAAGTCCTATTATGCATGGGATATCCATATTGCATGTTATCTTTATTGTATTTGCGTGACATAATTATTATTACTATTAAAATGCATGCAAAGTATATATATATATATATATATATATATATATATATATATATATATATATATATATATATATATATAATATTTCTGTTTTTCTGTTTAACAAAAAAAAAAAAAACCATAAAAAACGCAGATGGATTAAACCCGTAGGCGATTTTAACACTCCATTTGTGAACGTACAAGTCGTTAAAGCATGTGTATGCTTTAGTGACTTGTACGTTCGCATGTGATTTTTTTTAGTGTTCAAAATTTTTCCCGTATAAATATTTGTCATCTCAAACTAAAATTGCAAACGAACTAAGCGATTTTGTCTCTATCCACCTACGATTTTGTATTATTTTTATTTTTTTTAATACGTAATAGATAGGATTTGACTACGAAACCTTATTATTTATAAAGTTTTTGCAAAAAATTATCACTTTAACTGTTATTTTTTTGAAAAATTTGTTTAAAACATTTCTAATAAAATGAATGCTTCTACAAAAATTTTGAAAAATGAAATTGTCCATGGTACCTCCAGACACAAAGAGTTCTCCAACAAAAAGTTTGAAAAATGAAAGGAAAAAAAAATTACGTTTTTATACTCCTGAAAAAGGGGAAATCGCAGATGGACGCAAAATCACAGATGGACTGAGTCCATCTGCGAACGTATAAGTCGCTAAAGAACAAATGTGTTTTAGCGACTTGTACGCTCACATATGAACAAGTAAAATCGTAGATGGATTGAGTCCAACTGCGATTTTGGTGGCTATTTTTATAATTTTGGTTTTTTTGGCTATTTTTCCTATAGTAATTAAGGGATTAGACTCTTTTTGTAATTTTCACAACAAAAATAAAATCTCATTCGGTGAAAGTTTTTTTTTTCAAAATAATCGTTATCACAAACATTAGAATTATCAATATAGCTGGAACATACCAAAAATCATAGATAAAAAGAAAAATCATTTTTAAATTCAATACAAATCATCAAATATCCATATCAAACCATTCAAATGTATGTCATAGTAAAATAGTCATCAGAGTATAATTTCCAAAATCATGAAAGTGCGGAAAACAAGGGTGGATACGACATGATCATGTCGGACTCTTTCCTTTTCGAGCTGGAAGCACCTGAAACGATAAACATAAAATTGTAAGAATAAAGCTTAGTGAGTTTCCCAAAAATACCTCATACCATACATACATAACAGTCAAAACATAACTGAGTCTATTTCACCCCCCCCCCCCCCGCCCCTTTCGGTCTCTTTCAACCAATATTAGGTCTATTTTACCCCTTTTCGGTCTATTTCAACCGGTATCTAGTTTATTTCACCCTTACAGCTAAGCATATAATTATATCAGCAAGAGTCACAAAGACAACAAACACGTATTGCATAACAGTAAGTGTCATAAAGACAACTATCATCCTACACACATAATCCAGTAGGCCAGCATTAGTTTCTTCGACCCACAATTACAGTGAAGGTACTCACCTTAGTCTGAAGATACACAAACCACACTCTCGAGCTATTGCTACTACGGCTCCTATAACACCAGCAGATTCGGGCTAGTCAATTTAGAAACAATAAGCGTCAATAATGAATTTTTAATAGAAGATTATTTAGATTAAATAATCCTAACCAAGTTATAACATATGTCACAAGGGTTCCGTACATATAAAGAACGTTGAAATCCGAGTTATAACGAAAAAATTATGACCTGTCGAATTTTTACGGCAAAACCGGTACGACACCGAGAATCATAAAAAGTGAATTTTTGATAAACTACTTTTTAGCCTTAAATATCTAAATTAAAGTTGTAGTATACATTAAACCAAAAACGTGCATAAGAAGAACATCAAAATCTGACTTCGTGTGAGGAAGTTAGGATTTTTCTAAGATTTTGCATGATAGTATACAGTCCGAAATTCGAATTTTAGATCGATCAAATTTTGGCCGACGCAATCTAAATGAGAATTGAATATATCATTAATAAGAGTTCAACGATAAGAAGACAGACGAAAACGGAGTCCGTATGTAAAAGTTATGGATTTTACACGGTCATTTAATAGTGTAATCTTCTCATACTGTTAAATTTAAAATCGATCGAGAATTAGCCGACAGAGTCAAAAGGAGAGTTGTAGATCCTGTCAATACCTACGTGTGGATATTAATAACGTCAAAAAATGGAGTTTGTATGCGAAAGTTACGAATTTTAGAAGATAATTAGTTTTTTGGGTAATCTATGAGTGACACGTGGCGTAATCTGGGCCACACCTTCTTCCCCACGGCTTGGAACAAGATGGCGACATGTGGCAACGAAAGCCTTGTGTTCATCTAGGGAACGTGTTGCGTTCACGAACGTCTTGCGTTCGTCTCTTGAACGTGCTGCGTTCGACCCTCCGCCCAGCCTATAAATAGAGCTTGTTTATTCTCATTTTTCCACACCAATTAACTCCAACTCTCTCCTAAACACCCCCAAACCCTCAAGGTGTTTCCCTAGCACCTCCAAGGTGTTAGAAGCGAGTCCCAGAGCGCCAGAAGGCTCCAAGAATAAGATCTTTTGGCTCAAAACTTCTACCCCTGCAGAGTCTGGCTCCTAACAAAACCCCCTAGTAAGTGAGTTATGCTGACCCTACTTAAATTATAACTTATGTTTAAGTTCATTATCGTTATTATGAACCTATAAACAAGATTTATTAGTGATTCCAAGTCGTTATACTGATTGATCTACTTACGGGGATGATGTCTAGGTTGTGATTTAGTTAGGTGTTTAAAGTGAGATTTCCAAATAGTATACTTTGTATACCAAACGGACCATACCTCCAATATGATCATAACTGGTTGTTCCTTACTTGATAGATCATGAAAGTAGACTTTGAGTTAATGATGAATCTAGACTAATAATTAGTTGTAATAAAGATTATACTATAACTTAGCGATAATAATGTTAACTTTCGTCAAAGGAAAATAGAATCGTTAGAAGCGAAGCGTTGCCCGAGTTTGGAATCATTACTTAACAATTGAGTGCATAGTTACTTTCATCTTACACATAGATATGAAGTATTTTATATAAATTACGTGTTATGTGTGTATATTATCTGTTTACTTGATAACTATGCTAGATGAACGATCTTATACATGTTTTAAATGATTTAAACTGTATATGTATTTTATATCTACAAAATATGTTGGGTAAAATATGAGTAGATGAATGATAATGGATGAAAGTTGATATAGAGGAACATTTGCAGCAATGGACTTAGTACCCTATAGATGAGCATTGACATTTGTGCCACAACCTGTAGATGTAGTGATCTACGATGTACTCTAAACATCCTAGCAGTTGGGCTCAAAGGGTAGTATCGACAATTGTGCCTAATAGAGAACATCATAACCCTAACAGCTACGCCTAAAGAACAATATCGGCAGTTGCGCCTAATAAAGAATGTCATAATTCTGGATAATTGGGTTGATTTTTTAATCATTAAACATAATTATATTATTGTGGGTTATAAACCTTATGTACTCACCAGGTTTCCCAACCTCACCAACTCAAGTTTATTTGTATCATAGGTGTCGATGCGAAGCTACTTTACACTAAGAGATTAAGGAGATGTAGATCACTAGTGTAAATTAATGTAAGGTCTGTTTATGTTTTTGCTTTTGTGTTGACGATGACATCCCAAAGTTTTAATAAAAATGAAATGCATTTCTTCGGAAATGCTTTGATCACACATTTATCATGTTTTTCTGGGAACAAATTCTGCAATATTTTTATAAAAATGGTACTCTGATTTTTAAATAAAGCATAAATAAATCGATCTTTTCTGACCGTAAAAATAAGGATGTCACAGCTCCTCACATTGAACATTCCAAATTAACCTTAATAAATAATCGGGATAATAGCCCATAAAAAGTCCAGATCACCATCTAACATGCCAATCATTTTACCCCTTCTTTTAATGGGCCTCTCAACCCATTACTCAAGCCCAAAAAACCTAAGGTCCAACCAGGCCCAAAAGACCTAGTTGGACCTTTTAATGTGCCCCTCAATCCATTGGTCTTTTTTTTTCTTTTTTTCAAAAAGTAAATCGATGTGATTGGTCTTTCTTTGTTTGTTTTTTTTTTTATTTTTCTTCTTTACAATCCAAATGTAAATATTTTTTAAGAAATGTTTAGGTGCCAAGTAATATATTGTTTTGTTTTATTTTTCTTCTATACAATCCAAATATAAATATTTTTTAAAAAATGCTTAGGTGCCAGGTAAATATGATGAATATATGACATGACATGCAACGCTTTTTGATATCCCTAGAATCTCATATGTAAGACAGATTGTTTTGTTGATGTTGCAAGTCATAAGTAAAACAATACATCGATTTTGTTAAGAAAAAAATTACCAATTTAAGTAAACAAATATAAAATGTAGTGTTTATATTTAAACCGTGCAACAAATTTAAAAACTCTTGAAGGTATTTAATATTCTCATCTATTTTCCACCTGATGAATTGACTACAAAGCCAAGTATGTCCACTCGTCTTCAAATGTGGTCAAACCAAGAAAAACAATTGAATAGATCAAAAGGTGTGGGTGAGAAAGTTTCCTCACTTTTTGTGGACCATAACATCCTTTCTTTCACTTTCCTTTTACTCACTCAAACCCAATGAATGGGTAAGACGTTTCCATTACTATTTGTTTTTTATTTTTTTAAATAAAATTAATTTATTTTTATAATTTATAATTTTTAAATTAATAACAACCAAAAAATTTAATTAAAAAGAAAATACATTTCATTAATTAAATTAAAAATTACAATAAATTTAAGATTAATAAT